CCTATAAACAGATTAGCTGCATATAGCTCAAACAGTACTGCTACCTTACTTTCCTACCCTATTGCTCTTGGAAAATCTTTGAGTATCAGCGTCTCGAAAGTATTATCAATCCCGGCTTCATTAGCAGCGAGTAAGCCTGTTAAGCCACCATTACCCTCCCAAGGAGCTGGTGGAGGTGTAGGTATGGATTTCGAATCTGAGCTATTTGATATAGTGAATTGATAAAGCCGTCTAAATAAATAAGAAAAAAAGAGAAGAAAATAAATCAAATAGATGTATTGGTATATCAAAAAAGTTTATAGCGATATTCAAACTCAAAAAGGCTTCAACAGAAGACTTTGACGCCACGTACCTTCAAGAAGAGATATTCCCTTCTTTAAGAGGTGCTTTCCCAATCACTTTCATCCAAATTGATGCTCTAAGCTTTTGCCTAAGCAGTCTAGAAAGGACCGCCAAATTAGCTTATAAACCAAATGGATCATAAAGTCAGAATCGCTTATGGCGCTCACTAGAAACGATCTGCAAGGCTGAGAAATGCGCATATTTAGGGTAATTGATGGTGACAGTCACAAACTTATTTGGCATTTTAATATTTGAAGTTGAGTTGTACATTGATAGATTTTAGATTAGTCAGGGTAGCTCAAAGCTGAAGATAAATTTAAAACATACCAATGATGTATCGCAGCGTGAAATTCGACGGAACCCGACGAGAAACACTCGAAATTATCACCTGATTCCCTTCTGACAGAATTCTTCCCGGTGTTGGGTTACAGCACTGTCTAAATGCGGGAAAAAATCAGTTTTACGTTTATAAGTTTTACTTCATGTACTAGAGATAGGTTCCCTAAATACTTTTTTTTTCAATGTTAGATGATACCTGAACCCCGTCTGCTCCATACTTTTAGTATGCTTTATTTCCAAGTACTCGTCTGCGCAAGAAGAATCACAAACGAAGTTGCTCTCAATAACTTCAACATGGATACGTCCAGATGGCGCCTGAATACCTTAGAATGTTCCTTTTTGGAAAAGATTGAAGCAAGATTATGAGTGT